CCCCCCCCCCCCCCCCCCCCCCTCCCTCCCTCCCTCCTCCCCCATTTTCTCCCCAATTCAAACCCTTAATCCCCAAACCCCCCAAATCGTTGGCTCCCGGCGCAAGGCCTCTGGAAGGACCCCCTACGGTGGCATCATCTCCACCACCAAAAAGGAAGCTGCCATCGCCCAACTCAATGGAAGGACCCCGACGGTCGCATCATCTCCACCACCACGAAGGAAACCGCCATCATCCAACTCAAAGCCCTCAGCGACTGATTTTTGTCTATTCTCTACAAGCCCTCAAACACGGTGTTGCCATTGATTCTGTTGTGGAGCAAGTGCGTGCTGCAAGCATTTTGTTCATGCCGAGGAACGATTTGAACCCCATTTTTAGTGTGATTTTTTGTTAGTCTGAGGAAAGATTTGTAGATCTGCAATTGTTTTGAACCCCCTTAGTGTGATTTTTTGTTAGGGACGATTTTGATTATGTATGTTCTTCATCGTTGGTGTTCGAATCCATAAATTGGATTTTCCTTCCAGTTTATGCATTGGTAAAAAAATCCAATTTCTTTTGCTTTTGAGTTTCTTCATTTCTTCCTGGATGAAGGCTTCGGGTTCTCGTAAAGAGGTTAGGGAAGGAAAAGCTACATCGAATTCAACAAAAGAATTGAAAGTTTTTAGTGACTCAAAAAGTTGTTTTTTTAGTCTAGAATCCGAGTTGAAGCTGTCGTGCTTTGTTCATATATGACTGTGACTCTTCGCCACCTGAAATGTCCTATAATTGCTATGGCACATTGCATTCGAATGGAGATATCAGTATTGAGCTGGAAACAGATGATGGTTGAGGAAATAGCTGTGATGGAGAAATGGCTGTTGAGCCAATGGTGATTATGGGGGTGGTGATAACTTCTTCGAATTCTAAGAGAAGAGTGGCTTCTTCCAATGTTAATGCTGCAATAATTGCCTGTGAATTTTTTTTTTCTTGACAAGGTCAATTGCTGCAAAATAATTGGAGATTGTATTTAGCAACTTTTATGGCAAATAAAGTTGAATGGCTAGTTTTTGTGTCCAGCACTTTGGCAAATTACAGACTACTACTTAATCGTCTACTACATGTCTCACAAATTACAGACATTGTTCTCGACACATAAAAATAACAAGTGGAGTTAATCGATTACATGTGAGAGTTCAAATCATTAAACTCAACTCTCATCTTCACGACACTTTCTCTTCCCCTTATGGACAATTGAACAAGTTGTGGCTAGGATCTCTGCAGCTATGACAAGTACCCATGTTCTCCATTTCACCCATTTTCAAATCCAACTGCAGTGGTGAGAACATAGCAGGGAATCAGAACACATCCACAGAGCATTAATCATGAACATACACATACTGAACTTTGCTAGCAAAATCACGATATTCATTTCACACACAATTCTTAGGATTGCTCCAAGTTCTCCATTTCCTTATAACCCCATAACACTCTCATTACAACAGTAGAGGAAAACCAATGCTTACTGGCACACGACTCACCCTAAGCAAGCCGAAGATGTCGAACAAAAAAATGCAAAAATACAAAAAATTCCAGCAAGAAACCCTTAGAAATGCTTGAAGCAGTACTCCGTCGAAGCCTTCATGTTGTACGAGGCCTAGGTTCCCCAATTTCTTTTCGGCTTCGACTGCAGGAGAAAAGGCCGAGTCGATTGTTGAGTTTTTGGGTGCGCCACATCGATGTGAAAAAGGTTCCCCAAATTCTTCTCATTCACCAGAGCCGAAGACCGAAAAGGTACTGGGTTGGGAGTTGTTGCCGGCTTCCCTCCTCTTTCCTCTCGTCTTCGGCTTCAAAAGGGGAGAGGGGAAATGTGGGGAGGGGGGGAAATGCGAGACAGAGGGTTATGTTTTGGGGTCTTTTTTTTTTTTTTTAAGTTCAACGAGATTTGGGGTCAATTTCTCGCAAGCTCAGCATTATGGATCCCTTAATGTATAATGTGATGTACCTGTAGACTTACTCTTTATTAAATGAATTATTCTTGTTGTATGTAATGATGTACAAAACTCTCACATGAGATGGGACCCACCCGTGTGGATCCCAAGGGTGGGTCCCACCCCATGTAAGAGTTATGTACACAATTATGTACATATATTATGTACCCCTAGCATTGCCCTTATTGAATTGGGTAAGCGCTCAGTATATATTTGTTAGTTGGAGTTTTGAATTATGGGGTCGTTTTGAAGGGTTTTACAACCGTCTAGCTTGGTTTTTGTACATTTTTGTGCATGGTAATTGTAATTCTATATATATGAGTGATTTTTATGATTGAAAATATATCACAAATATCAAATTCATTCATCACACCAAAAATCAAAGATTAAATCCAGTTTTCATATTGTTCTTAAAAATTCATTTTCCAAGTTTTGACTGCTTGATGCATACTTGGAACGGAAAATATTGTTGGAGGACATCGAATAATAATCATGTTCAAACCTTTCACTTGAAGATTTCTTGTTGCTGGTTTTATTTTCTTTCTTGATCAACTTTTCTGGACATGATGGTGAAATCACATGAAATTGGCTATATATCAAATAGCCCTTGAAAATCAAGTTGTCCTTGAAAATATACACAAAGCAATTACTGGGGGGTTTTGGTATTGCTGCAGTAAGCACAGTTTTCTTCGAGTAATGCTATTCATCTCCACTGGGGATGAAAACACAGTTTACGTGACGTCAATGTGTCATTAAATAATATGTGAAATTAAATAAGTTATTTAATTTCACATTTCATTTAACCTATCATTTAAAGCCACATAAATTGTGTTTTTATCCTCATTGGGGATGAATAACATTACTCATTTTCTCGAGGTATGGAACAGAAAGTTCATTGAAGGAAAATAACTCTACAAAAATGCCCATATTAGGGTTTTTTTTTTTTTTTTTTTAATTTGCAGAGGCAAACATCATTAAATGCCACGCGGGTTTGGTGAGGCTGCAGAAATGGTAATAGACACAGCTGACCTTAGTGGAGTTAATGCATTTGCTGTCAACTTTTGGTTCTTTGGGTCCTTTTTTCCTTGTTATAGATCAGTGCAGTTAGGACGTCTGCCGCCTGACCCGTCTCTAATAGACGACATTTCAATAATTATATAGACGCGTCAAGTGCAATTCTTGCTGTTATCCACTAGCTTGCTCCGTCTTTTTAACGTTTTAAACTTCTAAACTATGTGGATCAACTTCTATATATACAGATCCCTTGAAACCCTTTTTTCCGAATTTCGAAGAAGAAATAAAGAGGAAGAAATGGGTGTTGAATTCTAGGACAAAAGGTTGTATCAAGAAGAGTTGTAGAAGAACAGAATTAAGAACAAAGCGCAATATGGGAAGACCTCCTTGCTGTGATAAAATGGGAGTGAAAAAGGGGCCATGGACTCCTGAAGAAGACATAATGCTGGTTTCTTATGTTCAAGAACATGGCCCCGGAAATTGGAGGGCTGTTCCAACAATTACGGGTTAGTTAAAATATTAATCATTGTACTGTCTGATACTGAGTTCAAAATGGGTTATCCAAGATTTGTTTAGCATGAACTCTAGGGCAGTGTAAAAACAACATTAAACTTAATTAACAGTTTCGAAGGTTTTACTTAGTTTTTGTGTTGTTCTATGTGGTTTTTTATGCAGGTCTGAGAAGATGCAGTAAAAGTTGCAGGCTAAGGTGGGCTAATTATCTCCGGCCGGGGATCAAGAGGGGTAACTTCACTGATCATGAAGAGAAAATGATTATTCAGCTACAAGCTCTTTTGGGTAACAAGTATGTGTTTTTCCTCCCTTTTCCACTTCTTTGTTGTCATTTTTCTAAATATATACAAGTATTCGGGAAAATTATTTGCTAGAATCGAAAGCAGTGATAATAAAAATTTATGTATCCAATCTCAAATTCATTAAGAACAAGTCTTGGGGTATGTTTACCTGTGCTTAATTTTACATTTTTTAGAGACTAAATATCGATAAAAATGAGAAAACATTACGTATAGAGAACAAAACTTAATTTGCTGTTGATGGGAATTTTATAACTTTTGTTGCAGATGGGCAGCCATAGCATCTTACCTTCCTGAAAGAACAGATAATGACATTAAAAACTATTGGAATATCCATTTGAAAAAGAAACTGAAAAAGCTTCAATCACCTCCTGAAATCCATAACCGATTCTCATCACCTTCACACTCAATTTCAAAAGGCCAATGGGAAAGGAGGCTTCAAGGTGATATCAACACAGCCAAACAGGCCCTTGAGGATGCAATGTCACAACAAAACACAATCCAAATACTCGAATTGAAACCTGATTTAGTACCCGAGTCGAAGCCCCAAGGATTCACGTATGCATCTAGCATTGAAAACATAGCCAGATTGCTTAAAGATTGGTTGCCAAATACGCCGAAATCTGAACAATCCATTTCTTCGAATTCAATCAACAATCTAACGTCGTTTGAGAGTTCTTCGACTTCGGGGTTTTCGAGATCTGATTCTCCTGAGGCTAGCTTTGTTCAAGGTGAAAGCAAACCTGAACCGATTGCACTTGCCCCGTTATCAATGTTAGAGAATTGGTTGCTTGATGAGAGTACAATTCCCGGGAAAGAATATTTGACTGATCTCTTATTTGATTAGAATTCTCAAGAGTTATTATTTGATGAGAGTACAATTCCAGAGTTATTATTTTGCCGCTTAAAAGCACTTCTTAATTACTTAATCGTCCAAAAAATTTGAAAAGATCTGTTTTTCTTTTTTAACTTTTTGACCTCCAATTCTTCATGTTAATCTTTCTATAATGTTATTCACTTACCAATCATGCTACACAAACATGCTCAATGACAATGATTAAAAACAAGAGGTCACGTAACGCAACATCGCTGAAAGGTTTGAAAAACCGAAAAAAAAAAAAAAAAAACTTAGCCACACAGGTGCTGCCGTGCTGCAGAAGCAACCGTCCTTACCCCTGTTTGTAATCCCTGTTTGAGTAGCATTATTCTTCTCTTAGCATTCCCACTTATAAACTATTTATAAATTTGTCAAACGGAGGCTTAGCTAACTAGTTCTCCATACCATTGTAAATTACACCATAAAAGATATTAAGCCTCTATTTGGTGGGGATTGAAATCCAATTTTTAGTAAATTTTGATAGAAGTTGATGAAATGTATGGTTAAAAATTTGTGGGACCTATAAAATATATAGTTAAAATGAATTATTGACTTTGACTTTAATTAAAATCTAAATTTTAATTAATACCAAAGTGAACCCTTAGTGCTTGCAATTTCACTAGATGGTATAGGAATCCATGATAAAGAATAGACCTCATTAATGTTGGAAATTTAGTTTCCAAGTGAAAAACAAAGAAAAAAAAACTTATAATCAGGACTAGAATTTTTTCTAGACTACTTTCAAGTTATAGATTAGGGCTGTAAACAAAAACCGTCAAACTAGAAAATCGAACCGAACCGCAATTTCGAAATCGACGATTTGGTGCCACGTGAACCCGTCAATGAAATAGTTTTGATCCAAACCAAACCGATCAAAAACGGTTTGGTTTAGGTTTGAAAATTTTAATTACGGTTTAAAATCAAACCGAACCGGCGAAAAAATATATAAAATTAAAAATTAAAAATAGAATTTTTTTGAAAATTTATCCAAAATTTCAATTTTGTAAATTCAATAATTTTGTCATTTTATTTGTATTTTTGTCAATTTCTAATTTCCTATTACTTATTACGATTTACGACCCATCCAAATCTCAACCCGACCCGTTATCCTAATTTAAAAAAAAGAACTCAAACTCTCACAAACACAACCCTAATCCATAACCTTCAATTTCTCTCTCTCTCTCTCTCCTGAATTTTTCTCAAATAGTCGATAGTCTACGGTCAAAATTTTCAGTTGCCAGGGACGGTCGCCGGTAGTCTACGGTCAGTCACAACTGATAGCCTTCAATTTCATTGCAAGACTGTATGATTTTTTGTGACATGTGGGTTATTTCTGTGATTTTTTTTTTT